TAGCAATCTATAAAGGTATTAATATGAGAGGAAGATGTGGCTCTGACTGGGCTTTCTCACCTCAGATGGTGATGTTTCTATTGTTGGAGAAGAAGCAGTGTGAAATTGCAGAGCATTTTCCCAATGCACTGAGCATTTTTTAATGCTTCTGTGTGTTAGTAAGAGAGCTGGAGAAGCACTGAGTCCATTTGGGGAAGAATCTATTAGAAACTAGCACAAGATGTCTTGCTGATATTCTGATAACAGAGTGCTTAGTAATGCAAATGAAAAATCATATCAACTTCTCTAACACTCTGGTATCTTCAAACCTGAAAGAACTGGACAGGTCAGAAACTGTAAATGCATCTGGCACTCAAGAAAGACAAGTGAGATATGAAGCTAAGCACTTCATCATAACACATTATCCAGCTTAGCATTTCCCAAGTCAAATACCTGAGAGGAAAGAAAAAGAAAAGAAAGAAAGAAAGATGTAATATTCGGTTCTAAAACTGGGAAGAAGTATTTTTAAGTGTATGGGGACAAGTAAATAATATCAGTAACAACCCATATGACCTGCCCTGTAACGAATCAGGTGTGTGACAGCAAGTCTACTTACCTGACACATCGCCAGGCTGCTGTCACTGCGGAGGCACCATCTAAGGTTTATGAAACTCAGAGCTGAGCAGCCACATCCTGCCAATCACCGGACTTTGTGACAGGGAACTGAAGATTGCCAATAATATAATCGAGTCTTTTTGGCTGAAGAGCATTGCAGTCAGCTTCGCATACCGCTACAATTGTCTGAACACCACTGGTTTTGTGTGCAGCATAATAAACTCTGTCAGCTCCAGACAGACAACTGAAATAAAAGCAGCACTTGTTCTTTCACCTCCACCATAGGAGAAGCAATCTATCTGGATCTGTGCACTGTAGGATTATATTAATTTTCTGAAAGTAATTACAATAAAGCATGTTATACAAGAAATAACAGCCAGAGCAATGGACTATATTTAACAGAAATAACTGTTAAAAAAATGGGAGGAAAAATGCAATTTATATAATATTATGTCTATTTCCATGGACTTACAGAGACATTTTCAGGGTCTAATGTAATAAATTAAATCACAGTTCTGTTCTACTTGCTCATACAAGTACTCAATTCATTATATTACCATGTTAGGTATATTGTTCAAACTTCTTTTAATATTTCTCTGGACCAAATTCAAAGCTTTATTTTATCATTTGTGAATGTATTCTGGTAAAAGTCATTTTGTACACTAATTAAAAAAACCACCTCTGATCTTAGTGTGGTTAGCTAGTTTTCCCTTCAAACTGTGTGATGTTTTTGTCTGGGAAATCAATGATAACCTCAGCATGATATAATTACTTTATTTGTCTGAATACATTGTTATTTTATGGCATCTAAGAGATTAATGTGGCATTGATAAATATGGCGCAGGTTCTACAGAAGTCCTTTGGCCACTTAGGAGCTAGAGGCCAAGAAAGGTGAACTAGGGCATCTCAAATGCAAAAGAGGACTGTGTTTAGGAAGCTGAATCAAGAAGCCTTGCACAAATATCATTAGCTAACTTTCTCACATTTTTAAGAAAAGCTAGGAGTACAGGCAACAGCTGAAGGTCCTTTACCTGTTGATTCTAGCACCACACAAAACAGGAAAAGGTACAGGGAAACACAGCCTGGATCTGTCAAGAGATACACTAGATGGCAACTCAGCCTTTTCTGTTAGCTGTATTTTTAAGCTGCATCACTTTCTGCCTCCTTAGCCTAACAGAGCAGCAAGGAATGTGAGCACTCTGAACATTTCTGAAGGTGCTATATTCTCTACCCAAAGACATACTATTGCATTAGGCACACTTAAATTGTTTTTTATGTATGTTTTTTAAAAGATGCATGGTCTACCGGAAAAGAAACAGGTTAAATAATTATATTTCCCTTAGTCTTTACCTTGTTGTCAATCATAGGAATACACTAATTTCCTGAATGTAAATAATCAGAATTACACACGCTATTCCAGATATAATCCCACGAGTACCTTATGCAATGACATTGATATTTCCCTGTATCTATCAGAAACATCTCTCTTGTGGTTACATTTGATTTTTTCATGTGACATAAGTGGCTATAATCATACACTTCTCAGTCAGTACCCTTGTATCTCTTTTTCTTCTGTCATTTCTAAATTATGAGCTTCCAGTTATTACAGGAATACCTGCAATTAATCCTGGCACACATTACTTATCCTTTCATCCTACTTCTGTTTTAAGTTGTCTGAAGGCCACTCCGTTCTTCCCTTATTTCATTTGACTCTTGCTGTGTTGATAACAACTCCTAGTTTTGTGCCATCAACAGATAGAATTTCTTCTCCTCCGTACTAAGGTCTTTAATGAAAATACTGAACCAAAGTGGTCCTCAGCTTCAGTTTCTGTTCCACTTAGCCTATGCATCTCACACATGCTTACATCTTAGGATGCTAGTAAAACAGAATTATAGTATGTGATATGCTCATATATACAGTGGAGAAAATACCTATAGGAGTAGCTCCTTTATTCAGTACTATTATCTAATTTTCTCTGCCTCTACAGTGAAATCAAGGAGGGCTATTACACGTAAGAAAACTTAAACAATCCTTTTTGCTTAAAGTTGTTATTAACAACATCTCAGACTTAATCCCACAATGCCTTTGTTCAAGGTACTCAGATACAGTCAATACACTATGGAGTTTTTTCCTCATTAAGATGATGAAAGACCCCCCAAGTGTTTCTTGTAGCACTAATATTGGTCCACTGTTGGGTCTTCATTTATTCCATTGGTCCACATCTTCTTTTTTTCCTGGGAATAGGGAAAGTTCTGTGAATGATCACATGAAAATTGCCTGTGCTAAGACATTTCAGCAGAAATCTGTGGTTTTGATCTGTCCCCAAGTGAAGGATCACCAGATGGCCTTTCCTGCTCCAGCCAATATCCTTTTCAGTCTAAAATCCTTACCCTGTATGCTTGCTCCCACAAGACAGCCCACCTCTTTTCCCCCAGACCAACTCTGATGTCTAGTTCATGTATTAACAGTAAGTTTCCAGTGCATCACTATCTCCTCATGATGCTGTCATGACTTTCCAATTCTCTTCCTCCTGTTCTTCCCTCAGCCTGCAAATCATCCTGGACTGTCTTCTTCCAGTGTCTCCCATGTAAGAATATAAACCCAGACTTTTTTTTGAAAGGTCCATCTACCCAACAGCTTCTCTGCAACAATATCCATAGGGAATGCCTCACAAAAGAGAGCATAAAAAAAGTATGATGAGACCTCTGGCTGGTAAATTCTCCCAGATCCCTGCAACAAAGAATTAGTGGCTTCCTGAGCTGACAATAGCATGCAGTTCAACATACTTAAAATCAGCTGATGAATCCACCCTCCATCAGTTTTTCTAATTGCTTCTATTTTAGTCTCTGAAATGTTCTCTTGGCAATGAGAGCCACAATTTGATTACACACTCTGTGAAAAAAAAGTACTTTCTTTTGCATTACTTGTTTTTAGTTTGCTGCCTGTAACCTCATTAAATGCCCTCTAATTCTGGCATTGTAAGAAACAGAGAATAATAATTTTATATCCACTTTTACCATAGTATTCAGAGATCTTTATCATAGTCATGTCTTTTCAAACCTAGGCAATTCTTGCCTATTTAATTTCTGGAAGATATGCAACATCTTTCATAATTGTTGTCATTGTCTGTACCTTTTTTTATTGCTATTGTATCCTTCTGGGCTGGAATTATCTGGACTGCATATGGGTGTTCAGCTGAAGGCATTCCTTACATTCATACAGCCACATAAATGAGTTTTATTGGAGAAAGTGAGATCTCAAAATGCAGTGTTATGTTAATAGAAGAATAACTCTCCTAACTAGAAAGACTGAGAACTGTCTTTATCAAAATGTCTTGGTTGACACACAGTATTCCCAAATCTATTGTGGACCAGAACTGACTCCTACATACCAGAGTTATTCAAATTTCCGTCTAACCATTGTGGAATAATTTTTTGGAATAATTTTGAAGACAGGAATAGGCAAAATATCAATGTCTTTCTTTGAAAATGTTTACCAGGCTTAAAGCCAGTGGTGGCAAAGGCAAAAATCTAAAATTTTAGGATATGTTAGACCTTCCTTAGCTTTAGCTTCATCCAAATAAAAGCCAAGCACATTCGGTACTGAAATGTCAGAATCAAACTCCCTTGCCAACATTTTGAATTAATTGAAATTCCATTTTCCCCCAGTAACACATTCCACAGAAAAATATTACAACCAATTCTAGTTAATGGTCTTCTGTAAAAAACAGCAGAGCAGAATGAATCATGTTCTCAGTTGGGGATATAGAAAAGATGAAGAAGGAATGAAAAATGGGCAACACATGCAGCATTTGTAAGGCTGATGACGTTACAGCGTGCCAGCTTCCTTTGTTCTTGCATTGGTAGCAATAAGCTAGTGTTGATATTTCATTGTAATGTCACCCATTTTCTAACTATTCTCCAGAAGTGAAATCTGGTTCTGCTCTGTTGTTCTACAGAATGAAGAACTGGAACAATCACTGGAAGAAATTAGCCATTATAGTATCACCCAAACCAGACATTTTCTTCCAAAAAATCTGTTAGATTTCTTAAGCAGCTCTTCCTCAAAACTCCAAAAGTTCAGTCAAGAACAAAGGCTTTAGTAAGGTTTTTACATGGCAATCTTCATGAAAACCAAAGCTTACATATCGAGGGATATGAACAATGTGTATTTAAGCATTTAGCATTTTGTTCTAACATGTTTTACTAGTTTATTGTTTAACAGTACATTTATATTTGTGGTATACAGTGAGGTTTGAGAGCCGGGAGTCAAAAGAGGTTATTTTCCCAAATATCTTCATTGACTTTTTGGACTGTTTCCACTGAATTGGGTTTTAGTATACTTTAATTCTGCTTTCCATAGGTAAGCTGTCAACAGATAAAGGGAAAATTTCAATGATTCATCATGACTTTTAATAGACTTTTGCATGATTTATTGATGTAATATACTGTAAATAACTGGTTGGACATTAAAGGACAAATGAAATGTTATTTCTTTAACAGGCAATCTGGAAATGAACAGTATAAATAGGATATAGTCATCACCACTTTATTTTATGTCGTTCCAATCTACTGTCAATTTCTTTTCATATACAAATTCAACTTTTTTGTAATCTCGAATACCTAGAAATCTTGCATAATGAAACATGTTATTTACACTGTGTATGACTCACAAATAATTACAAATAAAAAGTATACAAAATGATTAAAATGTATCATTACATGAAAAGCAAGGAAGATATAGCAGATGTTCTGATTAACTATAAATGCTTACATATTTGTACATATATTTCTAATCCAAAATTCCTAGATGATATATCTGATGATTTCGATCAGGAGTACTGGTTCTTATGCCTGCACTATTGGAGAGGAAGCAATATTTCCAGACATAATGAGCTACTTAAGAATTATTTATGAAACTGCATAGGATGAAACGTATTCATTTTAGAAAACAAAAATAAAATATTTGACATTGTAAAATATAAGCAATTTAATTCATGCCATACAGATACATTGTATATTAAACCAATACTGTAAGATGGCATTGTAAATAAACCATAACAGCTGTAACATCTTAAAAATAAGCAATTCACATGGCATTTTTATCATAAAACAGCAGATGTACAACATTATTTACATTGCAAACCGAAGAGATAGTAACCTCATGAAACTGCAACAAACAAATTGTTCAAAACATTGATCACAGACCTGATTCATAAAATATGTAGGAATGTGCGTAGAATGTATGGAAAAATAAGTCCTTAGATATCTGAAATGCTGCATTAGGTACTGGGTGTGCGACTCCCATCTACAACCACCCAATGAGGTATGGCCACAGTCCTGCCACCCTTGCTCACAACCTTTGCAGGCAGCGTGGCCAAAGCACACTTGGCGTGAGGCCCCTGTGTCCTTTAAGTTACCTGTTCACCTGAGCACATGCGGGACTGCAGCCTAAATGGCCCATGTAACTAAGCTTTAAATCCAAATGCAGGACAGGGGAAAGTGCTGTCTTGTTCCTACACGGAATGTGTTACATGTTGACGTGCTGGACTATGGTTCTGCTTACGGACTGAGCATTACCCAGCAAATACAACACTTGCAGAATCAGACCACTGATGGTTTTTTACAGCAAGGAGTGTAGAATATGGTTTCAATGCTCTTTGCAAACTTTTAGCCCAAACAAAGACTCCTGTTAGGTAAATTTTAGTCACATGGTTTTGCTTTGCAAGGATTATCAGGAGGTAGGAAACCTGCAATTGTTCCGAACACCAGGTTTCTGGCATAGCAGTATTGACCAAGGTTTTGACTGTGCTGCAATAATCTGCTTTATTTGTGAAGATTTAGGACCACCACAGATCCATTCTGATTCATAGTAATAATCAAAGTTCCTACCACAAAACTTTGCTGGAAAGTGAACTCTACTTGCCAAGTCCCAACAGGGTATTTGGCTATTGACCATTTCAGCAATGAATCTTTAAATAACGGTTATTAAAAAGGACAGTCACCTCCTGCCCCATGGCAGTATTATAGCTACTCAGTATAAAATTTACCTAACGAAACTCATACAATTCCTATGAGACAGATGATCGGCATTGACTGCTATATTTGAATGGTGTTAGTTCCACATTTGGGAATTGCAAAGAGGGAGGTTTAAGAGGACACGAAGTTTGATAGATGAGCTTTACCTCACCATCCTCCTCACTTATTTTCTTTTTTTAATTTTTCCTTCTTATTCTTCCACATAGTTTTCATGGTACAAGAGAGAGTAGCTGGTGCAAGTCATAGACTCCTGTGAACATCTGAAATTCCAAATGCTGCAACTTCTGTGTTTTTCATCAGGATTTGCTGGCCTGAAATGCAATGACAATGTGTCTGCACTAGCTGAGCAACGTGTCATGTGTTGTGACAGCTACAGTGTGAGACGAGTTTTGCACTTGCAAATTTGGTCTGCCCCAGCAGAAAGCCCAGCATAACCATACAAAACTCTTCTCACCTGAGATACAGAAATGTTCTGCACATCTTTATTGTGGCCTTTTATTGAGGATTTCCAGACATCGGGCAGCTCAGTCAAAGCTATTGACATGATTGAAAAGACGTCAAAAAAATTCCAAACAGACAAGAAAAGGTATCACAAAAGAGAGAAACCAGCTACTCTATCATGGGAAAGCAAGTCTGCAACACACTACCAGATGCAGTCTTCACATACGAGAACTTGAATAATGCAAAGACACAGAATTAAACATTTTTTTTTTTTCCTTTTTAAATGATGGGAGATGAATAATATAGTCTGGATGGTGTATCTTGAGCACCAGCAATGTAACTGAACAGGTACATTTTATATCATGTTATTGCAGTGCTTAGAAAACCAAGCTCTGTCAATGACTTCCAGTGAACTAGCTACATGTGTGACAATGAAAGTCAGTCTGGATGGACTTGGCAGCTGAATTGCATTTACCAAGTAATTCAGACAACGTAACCAGGTAACTTTTCTTGCTTTGAAGCTCTATTGGCTTCAAATGAGAGAACTTGAGGGGAAAAAAATATATATTTTATGAGCAACTGTTATGTGTATCAGTGAAGTTTAATGAGGAAAAAAGAACTTAATAACTTCCCTATTGTACCACTTTTAAAAAACAATTACACACGTTTCTTGTGTATAAAATTTCTGGATTTGTCTTAATAGTCTGTCTTCTTTGATCAGCTCTTCAGTGACTTAGCTGTGAAATAGAAGTAGCCTGGTCACAATCAGGAACAAAATGTTCTTCAGTGAAGTTTGTCTGGAGAAACATTTTTTTCTGGATATTGTTTTACTGATATGACAATAATTGATTAATGTGAGCTATCTACCAGAGGACTAGGTCAAATAAAGTGAGAACTGTCTTGAAGGAAACCTGTATATTTTTTTTAAAAAAATCCAGATAATTACTTCATTACAGTACGCTTCTAGAAGTGAGAAGCAGAAATTAGAACAATTTTTGATGAAGGCTGATGCCAGTGTCCATGGCAAAGGCTTCATCAAATATGTCTGTTACAATGACTTGAGAAACTTTGCAAAACTGAATAAGCAATGCAAGATCTTCAGAACTTAGCTGAACTTCAGAGGATTTTTGTTGTTTTGCTGATCACTGATAAATTATAAATGATATTTTGGATCTATTTTTCTTTATGAATCAGGTACTGCGCAAAAGTCATGCACTGAAATAGCTCATTACTTTTCCCTTTCAAAGACATTAATGGGGAATCAGAGTAGAATGGCGCCCACCACAAGTTAACAAGAAGCATGAGAAAAAGAGTATTTGTTGAATAGGAATGTTACTGTTAGTATTTAGACAAGTCAAAACTTCTTTGCTTGGTCCTGTGAAGAACAATAAAACCTGTACTTTGATTATAAACATTTATATGATACTAGCCTAAAACTAGAGGCAAAGAAGATGTATAGTATATTGTATATTGCTTTTCTTATAGATTGTACTTTATGTTTCTAATATGGTGACAAACAAGTAAAATCTCTTAGGACAAACTAAAAGGACCTCATTGTAACAAACACCATTATAGCAGGTCACACTATGAAAGCAAGATGTCAAGTCACAACGCAGTGCAGGCATGCCATTGAAAGATAATTTGGAGTACTCTTAGAAGGCTGTTTTATCCTTCTGCTATCTTAACAACATGCCTGCATGAGTTTTGTAAAAGTCTTTTCTTCTTGTTTGAGGCCTTCAGTGGCTTTGAAAAGAAAAAGGGTAGAAAAGGCAAACTGTTTACCCTCAGTTACACTTTGCAAGTATCCTGTCATCAAAGCCTACTCAAAAGGAGGCAGAATGGGAAAATTAAGTAGTATCAATAGAAGCTGAACAGAACGGGGACGTTTAACAAATGATTTGTGTCTTCTATAGAAGATCCAGGCTATTGGCAGTTTGCATTTGATTGACAGAAAAAAGAAGCAGCTTATCAGGAGGAGATTCAGGAAAGGCATTCACTGATCTCTCTAACCTGCAAAGATTTACAGATAGCATCTGTTTTTCCATTTCCCAGCAACACATGGAGAAAGACCCCTTGCTGCATGGAGGCCTGTATACACAGCAACTCACAAAACAGCGCCTTTAAAACAAGAAGAATAAACTTTAGATTACATTTTTTTTTTCAGAAGCTCATAGGGTCACAGCTATCAAGATATACATTCTGTTACAGGAAGAGCAGTACAAATGTTAAAGCTTTTAAGACCATATGTAGTTCACTGTACACACAATTTTCCCATGGCCTACACATATGGCACATCAATTTATTACATAGACTCATGTTCCCATAGAGGGATTAATACTGAATTCTGCTGTGTTATACTGGTGCTGTGGCCTTGAATAACTTGCTCAATGACACAACACAGGCCTGGTTAGTACATATATTATGCACTTCAACTGCTCACAGTCAAAGACATAAATGACAGAACCAAACTTGTCTGGTTTGTTTTCAAGTAGATAAGTCTTTGGTTAGTAATAAATTCAGTTGGTTTGGGGAAGCAATCATAACTGAAATAGTAATTTTTAACCAGAGGTACTTACTGTAACTTCCAGACCACTAAGACTGTCAAATGAATCCCAATAAAAAAAAATGAAATGCAGCATGCAATAGTTTGTATAGACTCTGCTTCTGTTGGCAGGTGGATTCCTTTGCTGAACGGATAGGACAAGTAACCAGACTTGATTTTGCAATTACTCCCTTGGTTTCATTGTGGGAAGTTCTTGGCTTACATGCTTTGCTGAGCTTTTCTGTCCATGCTAGCTCACAGTAAAACTCTAACCTGCCACATCCCTTCCCATTAGATTGCAGGCTGATGTTTTAAAATAATGTTCAGATTTAAATAGTACTAAAATGAATCTCTTAATCATTAAGTTGATAGAAATAGGGACACCACCTTACCTCTTCTGCATATTACTAAAATGGAAATATTGTAATTAATTAAACTATCCTTGTATCTGTAAGAAATTTTGTACAAACTGCTTTAGTTCACAAACATCACAGTGCTCTAAACCCTGATAGAGCTCTAATATTATTTAACGGCATTCAATATTATTGTAATGCTAAGCATCCTTTGTTGATAGTGCAAGGTTGTAATCTTGTTACTTAGTGCAGAATACCTGTACAAGTCTCTTCAGAGAAGCTTTATAGGCCACACTGAAACAGTATTAGAGAATTACACAAAAAACATTTGCATCCAGGGGAGATTGGTCCATTTCCACAGGAGTGCAGACTTCGAGGTGGTCAATCTTCACATTTTAGGAGTACCAAATTTTTTTATCCAACTTGCAAAACAGAGAAGTTTGACAAAAGACAAGTAGCAAGTCTCAGTATTCATAAAGCTGAGATTAAAACTGCACTGCACTGAACTGTTTCTTCCATTTGTTCTGTTCTCAGTAAATGATAGATCATCAATACGTGGCTCATAACTCTTAATAAAATTCTCACTTCTAAAATTGACCATCATGAATTCAGGTGAATATCCATCTTCCTAAAATAATACAGGTTTTTTACTCATACCTACAATTTACCTTCACATATGTCTGGGCCTGTTATTGGAGCTGTGTGTGACCATTTTAGACAGGAATTAGCCTTCAGATTTTACTTTGGCAACACTGAAATCAAAGGGAAAAGATGAAACATACAACTCTAAAGCATCAAAGATTAAGATATGCACAAGCACTAGCCTCTAGTGTCACCTGCAGAGGAAATGACGATGAGCCTGAATGAGTTGCCAGTTAGATCACCAATTTCAGAATTGCACCAGGCTCCTGGAAGAAGGGTTTAAACAAGTATCAGAAGTATCAGATTTTCCATTCAGGGTTTCATGAATTTCATGGGTTTTCCATTAGATGGGAGAGTCAGGATCATAGTGAGAGACAACTGGAAAACGATTACCAGTTCTTCTAGGCAAGATACTGCATGCGAAGATCAATTTGTTCTCAAAGGCTTTGGGAAGAGACTGAACTATGACTTGATGGGCTCAGGCTGTGAAGTTCATGTCAGTAAGACTAGCTTGTTCTGCAAAAGTTTCTCCTAGTCATGAATTTATCCCACTGAAACAAATACAAACTACCAGAAGATTTTTAGTAGAATTCAGTTCCTTCTCTAAAATTGGCCATAGGGGCAGAGCAAAGTGTCAAACAGAGAAGAGGATTATTTGTGGCTGTGAAACATTGGTTGAACTCTCCAGGATGGTCATCTGAAACAGCTTAACATTTGTGTGTTGCACCGATTGCACAACTGGACTACACACAACTTCTTCAAAACACTATGGAATCCCTCAAAATGGAACTGCAGAATTTTAGTAAACTGGGAAAGGTTAAAATCAAATCAAGAAGGATGTAAAGTCAGTTCTAGCAGTGGAACCCACCATATTCAGAAAAAGAACAGTATTAGTTCTCTTACAACATTGGGCTGAAAAATTCCTGTATTAATCATCTCTGGTCTCTAATATAACTGAGTTTTAACAACTGAAAGGATGATGTTGACCATGCCTCTCACCAAAGCAAGGATGGATACCAAAGATACACAGTCTAGTTCAGAGCAATCCCAAGAGTAGGTGATAATATACCCATAATATCTCAAGAAAACTATCAGACACAGAAGAGTCAATATATTTTGTATTTTTTATTCCTAATTATTTTTCTACATATCTAACCAGTCATACTATGTTCTATAAAATACGAAGTATGACATGAAATGTGTACATTATGTGTAGGATGTGCAATGCCGATAACTGCTGGTGCTGCTTATCCTGACATTTCTATTTCACAACTGAACCTCAGTACTGCAGTAATAATGGTACACAGTGAATATTAGATAAATTATATAGATGCTAATTAAATCCTAAAATCAAGATTACTCTTGACCTCTCAGAATTTGCAAAAAGGACTCTTATAAGACATGTAAGACTACGCATAAATACTTCACAAATGTTGTTCACAGTGATTTGATTCACTGACACAAGTTATTATTTATACCCTACATTTGTCAATGCCTCAGATCTGAAATGCAGAGATTTTATAAGTGGCGCGCAGAAAAGACACATACTACAGAAAGAATTTCTAAATAAAGTGGTGAAGATTACTCCTGAGCTATACATAGGTCTGCTTCTGAATATAAAAGTAAAAACAACTATTTAAGTCATAGTACAAACTGCATGCAACTACTACCAGCCCTGTCTTCAGCTGACACCCAATCTATACTTTGCAGAACTTTTCATCTTGACCATACAGGCTGAGGCTCCCTATCTGCAGTGGACTGCTGCTCCTTCAGGGTCATACACAGTATGCTGGAATTGCTCTGCTATGGAAAATAAATAACTGAAAAAGAATGAAGAATAAAGAAGTATTTGGGTTTTTTTTTTAAATCCAACCAAGTAGTAACACAAATTTGCAAAACCACAGCATAAAAGAGAATTCTTTAAAATGCAAATGTTTGATGTAATGAAAAATAACTATCCACTTTTTAATAAAGATATGCTGAGGTCTGGAAAGTTGCTTTCACTGTAGCCCTCTTACTAGATTTGGGCTTTGGGAGTTTAGTTTATATTTCTCAGTTCAATAGGTTTAGTGACAAATTTTCTTACCCCCTCCCCCCACAAATAAGATAAAAATGTTAAGCCAAAGAATCTTCTTTTTCAGTATTCAAATAATGGCTTTAACATATTGATTTTCATTGCCTAATTTGAGGCACACAACTTTGAAAAGACTGGCCAAACTGATTCAGCTGATAAAGCAGCACCTGCAAGGTGGATCTGGAAGGTGAATAAAGAAGGATCAAGACAAAACCCTGTCATTCTTCCAGTTGGTGATTTAGATTATTTTTAAAGTAATTTTATAGGTAACGTGCTTCAAGTTGAGCATTTTTTTTGGTTCCTTTTTCTCCAGATTTTATGGTATTTTTATATACCTTCACCTCTGTTACTGAATTCATCCTTCTCTGCCAAGTGCATAATACCAATTTTTAGCTCCATGAGTTTCTTTGAATCCAGTTTCTTTGACAACTGCAATTTGTTGGAAGAAATGACTAGTCTTAAGTTGTCTCAGAGCTATGAGCCCATTTGAGAAATTGGCTTCTTAGCTGACCTTTAAAGCAAGTGAGAATAATGTGCCTGCAATTCTGCAGGGTTTGGATTTCATTATCACAGCAGTGTGTATGAGACAGGATGCCCCTGCTGCACAAGTTTGCCTCTCTGTTTTTTTTCCTGGTAATTATAGAAACTGTTTATTATATATGGAAAATCTGCAAGTTTTCTCAGCTCTTGAGGACAATAATATTTCTGATTCTTTTCCTCTGGAGAGAGTGAGAGTTCAGAGTGTGGAGGACTGCATACTATTGCTTCTTCCCAAGGAGAACTTTCCCACGGCCTCCCTAACCAAGACTTCAGTGAAAATCACCACAAACATCAAAGGATCAGAATAGCAATTGCAAACACAAGAGACAAGTATGGGAGCAGTATAGCAGTGGCAGCCCTTGTTCTTCCCACTTGACTCTGGTTCAGGGCCCAACCCAAGATCCTGTTGGAGGATCTGGATACTCCAAGTGTGTAACAACACAAGTACAATTTAGGACAGGTCAGACAGAAGCTTTAGTAACTATGACTGTAGTGAAAGAACATTCAGCCAGCGTCTCCCCCTCTGCTCTCCTGTTCTTTCCCAAGTGATTGCAGAGACCAACCTATATACTGCTTCAGAAAAAAAGAAAGGCGTGAGGAAAAATGATAATTTCAATGTTACAAAAACCAGATATCCATTCCTGGGAGGGATGGACTCCTTAAGTAGTTTGCTAACTGCCACTATTCTAAGAAGGAATCAAGGAGTAAAAACATGAGGATTCAGAAAGATAGCTCTTGGTGGAGCCTATGGGAGCAGCACACCAGTATTATCTTGGATCAGAAGTGGGGAGTTGGAAACAGTCACAGATTGTTAGCTTTTAGTTGAAAGGAAGGTTCTTTTAATTAAGATAAACTTCCTAGCCAGACCTTTCGAATCTTAGTAATTTTACCACCACAACCCTCAATCTCTGGTTGGAGCCTGGCCCTTGCCACTGATGTGATTCTCTCCATGTATATCTGCTGTTCTGTCCTATTAGATACTCTTAACAGCAGTGGAATCTATCTCACCGACAGTATGGCAGCTAATGTGATCGAGTCCTCCAGCTCTATACTGTATGTAGCCACTGGGGAGAGAGAGAAGAGCACATCTAAGGCAGTGGTTTATCTCATCCTTAACACTTTCTCCAGGAACGATCATTCTTTGAGATGTCAGGATGTCTGCACTGACTGTAGAGGGAGCTGACCTGACTAGCTCAGACCAGACACAGTTTTTAAATATCTAAATCTACATTAATTGAATTTCACTCAATCTTACAGCAATTCCCCAAATCCTTGGTGCTCTAGAGCGTAATGGGCTCCAGTGCAACTTGGGCAGAATGAGACATAAGAATAATAAGCAATATTCCAGCATCTAATACTTTACTGGCTACAACTTAGTGAAGTGCTAATTTTCTGGAGAGGAAATATAAATTGGGTTGGGAATTTTGTCTAGACTGGGCTTTGGTTAGACTTCAGTAAAAGGCACAATGCTGACACATATTAGGAAGCGCATTTAAAGCCTTGCTTCAGGATGCAGTGTATCTCTTAATACACTCTAAACCAACCGAGTTAAATCTAGGCCTTACCTAACATGATCCACTTGGCATTTTTGCAGAAGGTGCTTGGTGAAATACTGCTCTCTTTGCAATTAACTATAAAAAACTGTTGGTTGAATGTGCTTTAGAAAATTCCATATATAGCACTGTTTCTGAAGAAATGGTGTGAACTATAGGTTATGTCATAGACTTCGTATCTTTTTGTTATTATACAACAGTCTTCCAAACTTTCTTTCAGTTTAGGCATTTCTAAACAATATTTACTTACAAAGCAGAAGAGTTTTGATTTTTTTTTTTAAGCGCTAATATTTAAGTATCATATCCCTACATACTTTTTAAAAGGCATTCTTACTATCCTCTCCAAATTTCTACCAGTTGGCAAAGTACTTCACCTGTAATGTTTCACATCTAGTTTTGCATTCAGTATTGAAACTCGTAGAGGGATTCTGAGTTTTACCTCCTGAAAAGTCAAATAATACAAAGAAGCGGGATGTTCTTCTTTGCATTTTGCATTTAGAATTTTTAGACTTTAATTGTCCCCCACAATTTTTCTGTGCAACTAGAGATTCAACTTTTATCTAAAATACAAAGCAACTTTCCCTCTTCCAAAAATAGTGCATTTCTCATGCAATTCCACTAAAACTCTAAGGATTATGGGCTCTAAAACTCATCCTAATGCCTTGAGAGTTCATGACATTATGCACAGCACTTGCATTTTTCACCATACCCAGAATACTCTCTGGGTCATCCAAATACAAGAAAGTTGAGAATCAGCATCACTTCTACATACAGCAGCTCTCTCCTATACACGTAAGTCACTTTCTTCAGATGCTTTCTTTTTTGTCGGCTTCTTACCTATACACTTATAGCACCTGTGAGAAGTTGCCAGAGAGGAATGCTTACACACCTAAACACTGGGAAGCACACTAGAATTGACTTAGAGATGTCATGAGAAAATACATTTTGGACTCAGCTTGACACTCCCTCAGTAGATGAGCAAAATTGGATGGAGCTGGCTGGGCACTGCTTTCTCCCTCAGGATCCCTCAGAACATCACAAAGGTGGGTAATGAGCCTCATCCCCACTGAAGAGCAGAGCATTCATATGCTCACACCAACACATCTGGGAGCATCACCTTGTAAAACGGTGTAAAAAACTGCATAGATTAGAAAAAAGTCCACATTTCACCATCCAGCACAGGTTAGCATAGGGAAAACTCTCCTTTGATGCTGGTTGGATATTTAGAATTTGCTTCCACACGTCATTATGAACAACATTTCAAAGGAACGTAAATTACACAGACTTATAATCCACATTTCCAAAACTTAATCAGGCATTCAGAATCTCCAGATCATTCAGCAAAGTTAGGTATCTCCTCCTTCTTAGCAAATGCAAATACCCTGAACCAGGCAGATGTACTTTAAGTGTACAGTTTCAGAATTATTTCAACCAATCAGAAATGCCATAGAAACTTTTAAAATAAATATACCTGTCCATACCTCTTTTCTCTTTTCCATCAGATCCGTTCTCTGAAGAAATAGCTCATTTTTAAACAAACTCTCCTTGATAGTTACTTATTCCTAACCATGTTCTTCTGCAATACATTCAGAAACTCTGATATTGATTTAACAGTGTGTTCCAGTCTCATTGGGGAAGGAAAAAATAATACCTTAGACATATACTGGTAATAAAACAAATGCCAAAATAGATTAAACAGTATTCCTCCTCTCTGGGTATTACTCAGTTTTACCATCTATTTACTGTTGCGTATAAAGCAGAAGTTATCCATTATATATACCTGCCTGTTTTATTGCTCATATTTATAATTCCTGGGTATATCTTACATATATTACTGGTATTGTTGTTTCTAGGATGGGAAACCAGTCCTACTCAGTGGGCAGTCTTTAAAATACTCTGTTTACAATTGAAACTCTTTTCTAATCCCTGTCTATAGTTCTGAGTTTGCTCTTCCTTATTTGAGGAAGTAGCAATGTATGTTTTTAGAAAACTAACAAAATGACAACACCTCACAAAATCAAATGATTCCACTACATACTTTTCTTCCCTGGGGAAGAGGATAGAAGGACAAACAATACATGACAGGGTGTTACTCTGTCATTTAATGTTCTGCTAAAAGGTGGTTTGTTAAGGTGATAGGTGTTGTACAAGAATCTACACAGAGCAGATTAGCACAGCCTTACTTATTGCTTCAAGAGTAGTCATTAGAGAGTATTGCTAGGGAATAATTATCTAGAAAACAAGTAGCTCAATGTGAGACCTTCTGCTAATGGAAAGGTAACTTTTGGCCTACAGAGTCACAAAAGCACAAAAAATGTATGTTAATGATAACCTAGCAACTATCTCTGCTCTTTAGAATTTATGTATTTTATTGCCATCTCTACTCCAAGGTCTATGTAGGCATTCTGACATATAATTCAGGTGAAGGTGGCACAGAGGGTTTGCATAATTGGGCTAGGAGCTCAAAGCTCAACAGCTTTTCTAAACCACAGTCCTAATGGCATCCAGCAGTTGTGACTGGCAGTACTGGTATCGTATGTAAAGGGTTCAGACATAAGAAGGAAGAGGTTTCCGGAACTGCAGTAGCCCCTGTTCTTGACATTTATCATGGCTACCATATCAAACCTTTATTTATCCTGGAATATGCTTATCTACCCCTCTGCCACTTAGTTTGATTCAATTTATTTCAGTCAATGCAAAACTCTGAAAAGTAGCAAGACTAAAAGATTCAAGACACTGAACTTGTGCCGGGAAGAGCTTAATTCAGTGGGATCAAACTCTCTTATTTTGCCCATCTTAAAAAACAGACGTCTAGTCTAAGTTTGCCATCTGTGGTCACTGAGAAAGTTAAGCACACTCAGGAATTTAGGCAGTCTCATGCTGTGTCTAGAGCACACGTGACAAGTGCCTGAAGCACTTACCTGTTCCCAAGTCTTCAAAGGAAATATGATTCTTGGAATGCTAAAGCCAAAGTGGGCCAGAGAGCTGAAGGCAGAAGAGAGCACTGCTGCAGCCGAGGCAGTCAGTGTGTCCCTTTGGACGCCCTTTCACTCCGTTGCCTCCCTGTTAGCCACAATAAAATAAATGTCCAAAATAAAATATGTTCAGCCTCACTCTGCCTTTGGAAACTAGAATCCCAAGAGCAAACAGCCGGTTTAACATCTGCCTCCACTGATCCTTTTGTTAAGACTGCCAGCAAAGTTGCCCCTTGGCATCACTTACTGTATTGGCCTCTGTAACATGAACCCCAGCCCACAGGGAAGCAGACTGAGATGCCTCATGCTGTTTTTCAGAGGCCATTTTGTTGCTATGGTGACAGATTGATACAAACCTGGACCACAGATAACCGGGGGTCAACTTTTCTAAACCACAGGAATAAGTAGGCATGTGCAGAGGTGAATGATCTGTTGCCTATGACTGAACTGGTACATTACCCAGTTTCACCATCGTGCTTGCTTTCATGCATGATTAATAGCCAAGCCACAAAAGATCAATCATGTATATGAGGTTAAACAGTTTACAGATTTTTGTTGTAAGGCTGCTCATGCATTGCAAATTAATAACAGCGTTAAAGAGCAACTCCTAATGGCATGGATAAATTTAGTGCTTGGGAAAGTTAAAAACTTGCCATGGACTGTTAATATACTACTTCTTCACCCAAACCCACCAGTGACAACTAGCACTGCAGTCTTCCTCTCTAAGGATGTGAGTGCCTGCCATGTCACTGTCACAGTTTTGTCTTTGTTGCAAAGAAGAGTAAGATCAGCCCTTTAATCCCAGTTATTTAGATATAAGCAGCCATCCACGTCAACAACAGATACTAATAGGAACAATAATAAGAATTACTAACTATCTGTGTCTCATACAGGGTGCTAAAGAAAGAAAAGTGGAGGCCTTTTGAAGAGCAGAAGCCTCACCAAGAGCAGAAAAATAGCATGCAAGGTGATGGAATGATGAACAGTAGCAGGGGCCAATCAACTCCTGCCTGTCGAGTCTCCTGCACACTCAGCATCTTCAATTCATCCACAGCCTCTCCTGTCACTGGCACCCTCAATCCTAGTAAAGTGCTATGAATAATGTATTACCTTGAAGGAAGGGAACCAACTGCTTCTGAGTTTGACAAGCTTTTTTATGCTTCCTGGTTTTTTGCTAATTTAAGCATGTTGCTATTTCCAATATTACACATGTGTAATTTTGCAATAGATCACCAGAATCCGAAAACGAAGCCAGAAACTCTGAGACTGCATTAGGACTAGGAATTCGGTCTTTTCAGTGAGCTCTGAGCACTCAGCAGAGGTGAGGTAGTGGCCTGAGACTGGAAGAGGAAAACCCAGAAAATGCCACAAATTTGTGATGCTGCTGTTGGGTTACAGACTTCTTGGCAGGACAGCTTGCATGGAGCATGCAAGCGTGACAGCTTGTCGCAGCTGAAGAATCTAAAAGCTGTCCAGCAGTTAAATTTGCCCCAACAACTGATGCAGGTTTCATACTCATTTGCAATTCAACACAGCAGTGGCGGTATTTTTTTTTCCTTCATTTTTAAATCATCTGGGAGAAGGATCTATTCAGAGGAAGAAATATACAACGTGAGATTGTTTAGCAGAGTTTAAGCCTCAGTGCAGTGCTATGATACTTTTAAATGCATGCAGCATGTCATGGTTCTGCACTGCTTGTTTTATACAGAAAAAAATGACAGAGAATATTAATGGAAAACAGAGAAAAGGTAGTCATACACTCAAAACCGCTGTTGGGCTTGGTAGGGAACACTGTAAACACAGGAGGAGATATTACTGCGAAATGGCATATGCACACACATGAACTGCAGTAAGACCTGCTAATGACTCAACAGCAAGGATTTCTTCTTTGGAATAGGCAATTCCAGCACAAGCCTTCCAAGGTTTTAAAAGCTTTGGATTTCTGTTTGCAGAGGCATGTTTCCAGGCTCCAAAAAGCCTTTCCAAACAGAATCAGGTCTGAAACTGGATGTGGGTATGAGCAGTGAAGCCAAAACCACAACCACAATTAATGACTCCTGGCTCTTTGGAATTAAAAAATAAATATCCTGTGGGATCTTGCAAGAAAACCACACTTTGAGAGTCCTGGTTTAGCAGCAATTTTCCCATGTAGAAGCTTTTGTCATTGAATGACAGATATTACCAAGGTGATGTAGTACAAAATTTATCCACCACTTTAATACTTCCATCACTATTTTCTTCTTTTTCTGAGTTCCTGACCTGTCTGGCCTGTATCACAGAAGAGCCTGTGTGATGAGGAGCTTCAAGCAGGTGGAAAAACCTGACACAAGATCTGCAAAAAGTGCTCTGGGGGAATGACTGTTGCCTCTGTTTACTTAGGTCTCACGACTTTTGTACAAAAAGTTGGGCCCTGGGTCTTCCTCTGTGGTTATTCCATGTTCCCTTTAAGCCTGGTCCCTCAGAGCCTGGAGCAGAAGGAAGCTGCACAGAACAAATTTGCAGCAGAGACTGATGACCCCAGCTAGGGTCCTCACATCATCTTGCCTTGTACAGGGAATATGCAACAGAGCTCCTCCCTCTATCTTCAGAGAGGGTCAATTTGTTTTGTACAGAAACTCAAGACAGCCAATGTTGCTACTTGCAGCTATATGAAGAAACACAGGCATGTAAATTCTTAATCAGATGAACAAAAAGTCATCTGTTTTACAGGAAGCAAAATACTAGAAGAAAATTCCAACTACAGTATTTGATTTCTGCATCCATTTCAGCACCTTTACCCTCAACATCCCAAGGTATAAAAACTCTGAGAATCTTTTTATTTATGAAGACAATGCCAGGCAAATGAGAGTTTTCCCTATCACTAAAAGTAAGTGTTGTTGAAGAAATGTTGAGTCCGACTACCATCTAATTGACTTCACAGCATCAACCTTGATAATCAATTTCATTTCCCTTCATAAAGGTGTCCATCAAAAACAAACTTGAAACCTTAAAGGCAGCAGATGAAACTACTAAGTTAAAGAGTGCTGAGAATTGTTTTACAATTTTCTCACAACAAGACAGAAAAATATCCTGAAAGAACCCACACTTTTTTAACTTCCCGTGTCATGACAAGGGAAGTAACACAAAACTTAGCATCACTTCTGAAGTTCTGGACATGTTACCTTTACACAAGCTTATAAAAAGCAGAGACTGTGTATTCTTATATAGAAAATCTACTCTAATTTGAGGAGCTAGATGATTTATTTGCAAACACTGTAATTGTCTCCATGGTGATGTCAACACCAATGGTCAGTTTTTGAACTGATCTCTGTGATTTTAAATTTCCTTATAGAATAAACAGTCTCTGAGAGGATGAGGATGGTGATACAATTTCTTTTAGATTGCCTCTCCAATTTGCTAGTAGAATTAGCATTTATCCACCATTTCTCATGAAAATGTTTCCATAGATCTAGCAAGATCAGCCACAGAATTAACCTAGACATCTCCTATTAGCAACTGTGAGAGAGAAGTTATTGAGCCACAAGCTTTTGATATGAATCTCTACATTTGTCCTCTTCACACAGAACCACGAGTGGTGAGAAGAGAAAAAGAGTTTGGCTAGACTGGCACTCTTACATCAGCACCTACTGAACAATGAGGATGTGTCAGGGAACTCAGAATGAAATCTCAAGCTATCGACTACTATTTGAAAAATTTTCACTCTAGGTAACTTGGTAATGACATCAAAACCACAGCTTTATTAGCTAGGAAGTAGTGTTGCTCTTCCAGTGGTGAAACATGAACTTTGCTCCATTTATGATTCTTGCATGTCTCACTGGTGTTCCCATGAAAAAAATGCATGCTACATCCTGTGTTCTGTGCAAACTAATGGCTACAGGCTGAAACTTGTCATCTTATGCAGAAAATTCTAAAATCTGTAGTTTGGATGGAAATTCTTCAACCTCAAGTTCAAACAGTTTTTATTAAGTCTTTTTTCAGATAGACAGTAGAGCTGCAGATGTTGTTTAGCAAGGTGGATAAAAGATTAACTCCTCCAATCCCAAGGATGCTCTAATATCAGTGGAAGAAATCTTTAACATCAGTGTTCCTCTAGAAAGCAAGGGAATTTCCATTTAAATAAGTTTCTGTGCTAATTTCCATGCATCTACCATTTTCAGGGAGAAAAACCACCCCTGCATAAAAAGTTCAGATGTTCTTTACATGCTGAAGTCTCTATAGGTCCGATATAGTCCTTTCTCATCTAGAAAGGCTTCATGGAAGGGAATCCTGAAACGTGTTAGCACAGGCTAGCAGTGCCACACTGAGTTGTTCCCACTCTAACATGGACTACCAGTCAAAGAGTAGAAATGCAACACTGTCATTCCCTCCACAGAAAGATCTAACTGGATAATCTGGATATGTGGTGAAAGTTACTTATTTTCAAAAGGTGCCTCAAGTTATGACTACTAAATCCATAAGTAAACTCTAATTTCTGGTCTGGATTATATAAATGCTGAGCTTCTCATGCCTCCTAGTGCTGTTGAGAGTCTTATCTTTGATTTCAGTGAGCTTTGATCAGGACCACGTAAATGTAAACCACTTCAAAATCACTGCACAAGTGTTAACTAACAATCTACAAGAGCAGAACATCATCCACTTCAGTACAACCCTAAAGGAAGTACACCTGCAGAGGAAAACTGACTGCCAATATTTCTGGAAAGGAAAACCTGAGAAATAAACAATGCCTGAAAGTGCCTATTAGTGGACAGATCCACACCTTGCTCCAATTTGATTCACTGAGGACAATAATGCTGTATTAATTTTCAACAGCAAATAATTGGCTTTTTTTTTTTCAGAAATTGACATGGACTCATCTAAATCTTGAACTGCCATTTGCATTAAACCTGGGAAAGTATTGCCTTCCCCTTTTCAGTGTTTTGTTGGTCTACATTAGATAAAGCCGGGGATCAGTCCAGCAACAGAGGAAATTTCCAGATAGGCATCATTAATAACAGATAGGATTTTCAATAATCAAACTGGAGTAGGAGCACAAGTCCTGTTAAAAAAATGTGGAAAACCAGTTTCCAGAGAGCTTCCAGTATCTGCTGGAATTCCTCAGAATAAGTTTTCACAAGATCAATTTTTTTAAAAAAAAGTCCAGGACTTCTACCCAAAATCAGTCTGGCTGATAATTGAGTGGGAAACAAGCCCCACTAAACAGAACTTTTCTCTTTGTCAACACATTGATCTTCTACACTTCGTTTGCATTGCCCTGGAAGGACTGGACATACAGCACTGTAGGACAAATACTGAACATTATTTTATATAAGCAAGACAATGCTCATCTAAAGCTTTAGCATAAACATCAGATAAAGAGATTTACCAAAGTGTTTTTTTCTCTAAAATATGAATATTTTTGTTGCCAAAAAAGTCAAAAAATGACTTCTTTCCACATGTATAACAATAAGGTTTGATAGATAGAATGTATGAAATATACAGTAGCTTCTTCTGAAAAGCTATCTAAGTTCACTCAGCTTACAGTATGTGGAATGTAATTATCCAGAAAGTGAAATATGTATAAAAATAGGTAAAATTCCTACAATATTTGTATTGAATTATAATTCCTCCTGCCAGGAAGGTTACAACAGGTCTACAGTATATGTATGAAATGTTTGTTCATAAAGTTAAAAAACACCATTACCTTACTGAAGAACATATTAAATGTAGGAATGCATAATCAGAACTGACTTTCAATTCTGCTTAGCTGGTGCAAATCTACAGAGAACCATCATCCTTTCTGCACGAAACAAAACCAAACTCTAATTTGAGAGTTGGGGTTTTTTTTGTTTTGTTTTTGTTTATCATAGAGGGGTCAGACTGAAGTTTATGAAAGAAATTCCTCTGGAAGTGGAAGTATATTATTTAATTTTTTTTTTCCCTATCTCCACTTTGTTTACTGACAGCAGTCACCTACCTTTTAAAATTATTATTGCCTGACATTACATGGAGCTTTTCCTGCTTGTTCAGAACAAGGCAGTGAAATAGAAAGAACCTCCAACTCCCCTGTCATGACCCAGTTCTGGGCTTGTGCTTTTTTGATGAGTCTTTGATCTGCAGCAGGCCTCATAGGCTAGTCTCCCGTAGGAACATGGTGCCAATGTTATAAGAAACCTTTCTCACTCTGGCAGATGTGATGGAGGGTTTTGGCGGCTTCTGACCACTTCTGACTTCGAGGAAGTAACAGATCCCAGGAATTTCCTTTGGAAAGTTTTCTGGAAGCTCTTCACGGGAACGAGGGATAAAAACAAAATTTTCTTCCTTTTTCAAAAGCCTAGAAAGAAAATAAAACAGAAGGATATAAAAAAATGTAAAACATAGTCCAGAAACATCCCTTTGGAAGAGATTGATCCTATGTGGTCCCAAATAAAACATCAGTTAAAAATATTATGTAACATCTAATAAAATCCTAAGTAATATATATTAACTTAGTATCATCAACTTCAAGGAGCTCTGTTGACTGAGATCAACTGAGGAGATGGCCCAAACAAACACATTCTCTGAAAATCAGTGTCAGCATCCAGAAAGTCATGTACCAGAAAGGGAACCAAATTCATAATGATCATTATCCGTAACATAGCATTTGACCCACTCCAGTCTGGCCAGTTGTGCAGAAATTAACATTTCAGTGGAGACTACCACCAGGTATCCTGTTGGAAAATAGGTATGAAGGTGACAGTGCTTAGGAGTTTTCACAGGAAGAAGCAGGGTGGTCAGTTTGTGCCTTTCTCATGCTCAGTAGTACTGTATTTCAGAAACTAGGTTCAAATACTGCAAATCCAGCTTCAACAAAAAACAGAATCAAATCTGACATCACCAAAAGTACTCAGGGGTTTAATCTGGGTGACCTGGTTGGGGTCAAAAAGGGATACAGGTTCATGGGAGCCATGAAGCCATCCTCCAGACACGCCCACACAAGTGGTACAACATACTGCCTTTTGCCATTTTTTGTCTTCCTCTATAGTGGAGAAATCCCTGTCTGGCTAGATCTGAAAGTTTAGGGCCTCTTTATCAAGTATCTTCTCTGAAAATAGTTGGACTTGTAAAATAAAGAAAATAATTCCATACACTTTCTTTTTGTTTCCAGTAAATTAAGTTTGGAGTATTCAGTCCCTCGCAACATTGAAAAGAGCAGTTTTGAGGTAATGATAAATTCTGAGCACAGATGGATATACCAAAGTATTCTTCATCTTGCCCCCTCCCAAGATATTTATTCTTTCTCTCAATCAATTTGAAGCTCAAAAACATCAGTGTGAAGAACTTCAATGGATTTTATAATAGGTTGTTTACTTGATGTCTCTAAAGCTGATTTCTGGGAGGTAAATGAATGAATGAATGAATCCTCTTGCCAGTAGAATTTTCCAGGATTCACAGCACATGTAATGGCACTTCTTTTACTGAGCATTTTTCGTGAATTTTGGCTGAGACAATCTGTGTGAGCTCATTGAAATATAAAGATTTTTTTCTTCTCAGCTTTTAAATAATCAGTTGGTTATAAATCCAACAACGTTTTTGCCTTTGAACTTCTGTGGTGGTCTTTGTTTAGCATGTAGTTTGAATGTCATAATCTATTTTCCAGACTGTCAATTTTATGATCAAAATACTGTAATCTTTTCTAAATTGTATTACAGTTTGCAGAGGCCTCTACAGAGAAGCTTCTCTCTATTCTTCTCTGCAATGCTTGTGGTAAATATTTTGTATTTTAAAACTACAGGCTTAATACGCTGAAATAACTCCTCGCTGCTTCCCAAACTAGATTTCTGCAAGCAACAGTTGAACTCCTAGAACTTTCTGACCTAAATCTGTAAGCTCTCACTGCAGTCATTCTTCCCCAAACTGACTATTCTCTATGGATCATTTGGCCTTGCTAAAAATCAGTGGTTTCCTTCTCAGAGCCTAACATTATCTAATTTAATGACAGTTATACAAGTCTGAAACTGTAGAATATATATATATTTTGATTCAGTTCAGGGCTGGCACTGAATTTAGCAGATATTTCACACTATTTTCCTCATAGAACAAAAGTGCAAGATATTAATTAAGGCCTTATTTTCACTTGTTTTGTGAATTGTAACTTGGTTGCAATGAAATGCTACAGGAACGATGGGTGACTAACCAATTAGTCCACTGGAAATTCCTCCACTACTATGGCTTTGTTGTGGTTTGAGCCCAGAGGGCAACTAAGCACCACACAGTGATTCACTTACCCCTTCCCCCTCAGGAATGGGAAGGAGAAAATAAAGTAAAAGGCTGGGATACTGAGATAAGGACAGGGAGGGATGGCTCACCCATCACAGTCAGGGGCAAAAGATAGACTCATTAAGGGAAGAAAAACACCCCATCACTTTAAGGCAAACACTAACAAAAACAACACTTAACAGACAAGGTGGGACAGTGAGAAGTGCCACCACATCCCAAAACATCTCCCCCCACCCATTCATTCTTCCCGGGCTCAGTTCTGCTCCTGATCTCTCTCCCTCCTCCCCCAGCAGCACAGGGGGCAGGGATCGGGGTTACAGTCAGCTCGCCGCTCCTTCTTTCTCAGGTGGTAGGGTGAACATCACACATCCCTCCCCTGCTCCATGTGTCCCCCCTCTCACTGGAGACAGTCCTCCATGAACCTTCTCTGGCGTGAGTCCTCCCCACGGGATGCAGCTTTTCCTATGCTGTTCCAGTGTGGGTCACCTCCGCGTGTTGCAGTCCTCCCAGCAGTAAACTACAACAGGTGGGCTGCTTCTTCCCTCAGAGTCCCAGCTTAATTTAAGTTCAGACACCTGTTCCAGTGCGGGCTCCTCCACAGGCCTCTGCTCCAATGCGGACCTCCATTGGTGGCGGGGGGGTGGCCCTGCCATCTCACCAAGGGATACAGCAGTCTCTGCTCTGGCACACCTCCCTGCCTTCTTCCTCCTTCCTTCCACTGGCCTGCGTGTTCACATAGGTGTCCTTCTAGTAACTCCTTCTCATAAGTCCCAGCCTCCTCTCAGGTTCCCCTTCTTAAATATGTTATTGTAGAGGCAAAGTCACCATTGCTAATTGGCTCGGCCCTGGTCAGAAGAGGGTCTGACTTGGAGCCGTAGGAGCTTTTGAGAAGCTTCTCACAGGAGGCCAACAAAAACTCCACCACAGAAATCCAGCACAGGCTTGTAATAAATTCCACATCCCTATATTAGCTGCACTATATGAATCAGACTCTCACCCTCAGAAATCATCTAGCCAATCTTTATTTGGATAACAAATCAGCTCCCCAGCAAGCATGGCAGTTGATGGCCATGGCCCAGATCCCCCAGCATGGGACACTTTTAAGATTCAGATGGACAGGGTGATGGGCCATCTTGCCTAGACTCTTGTTTTTCCAAGGTTGGACCAGATGATCCTTGAGGTCCCTCCCAAGCTGGAATTGTACGATTCCAAGTTTCTTGTCTTCCTTTTCATGGGTACAAAGAACCCCAACAGATCCTCAATGAGGGCAAGGCCAAGCCACACTGTCAGTTTTTGCATTTCCCCTTTGGCTCAGGGAAAAAGCCTGGGTAAAACCTTCTGGTCTGGGAGGTTTCCTGGGTGGTGGCACCCAGTTCTGGTTGTTTGTCTCACCTTGTGGACCACTCTCAGAGCATTTTGTTGTGACGAAGTCAGATTGCCAGTTCTGAAATTCTGAGAGCAGAGTCTATCCTTCAGCTTCAGAAAATGATATAGTAGCTTAAACTCTACATAAAAGGTCCCCAGATTGTCCCATAGTCACAGAGCTCAAGTTGAAGTTACACAACCTCTGCAGTTCAGGAATATGCATGTAACAGCTAGTCTGAAAATATTCCAAAACATTTCTCCCAGTTATTTTCTGCATCACTTCTGTGGATTTCCCTTAAAAGCAGTACTGTAAAGGGTATTTTTATAGTAGGCTTATTCACAGGTTCAAAATTCTGGGTTCCACTCAAGTGGTTATATATACAATTTACAATGCAGTGCTTAGATTGTGAGGGTCACACTACTCAAGCATTCCTATAAATTGTCTGGAACTAGATCTGCCCTCAGCTTGTCTTCTTTGTTGACGTTTCAGAGGAGGATGAATTTCTTAAATACTGATTTGTAGTTGATTAACTTTGACCACTTCCCCTTCTAACCTGACATCTTCCCGAACTGTTTAAATTCTTGTTCTGTCCCCTTCCTGGTGGAAATGCTGTTGCTTTCAGACAAAAAGATATGGTACCTGAGAATTATGCCCTTTATTTTTTCATACTAAAAAAAAAAAAAAAAAAAGTGTCAGTATGAAAACAGAAAATGTGGTTATTTTCTAGTGGAAACAAGAAGCATTTCAGTGTCAGGAAGTCAGTATGAATGAAAATTAGGATCAGACTTAGTGCGAACCTTAAAGAAGTTTTTAAAAGCTGTAGCTCTTTTTTGCATAGATAAAATGATAGAGTAATTATATTTCACACTATTTTGGCAAGAAACAGTCACATCCTGATTAGGGACTTCTTATATTCAGCAAATGAACTAACAAAGATTTGTTACTACAGAATTGTTTGTTGCAAGGACCTCTATGCTGAGCGCATGCTTTCCACAAGGATTCTTACTCTGTCCATGCTCACTGGAAAGCAACATCACCTCTTTATCTCTCTGTCTTGGAGAGATGCAGAGATTTGCACTTATCACTGGATAGTGTGACGATTCATTAATACTCACAAAAAAAAAAGTACCTCTGCTAGCCCTCAGGTTCAGCAGGAAGGATGGCTGCAAATCTTTTATATTCATGTGAAAATGGGCTAACTTGCTCCATTCCTTCCCAAACAAGGTACCATCACAAACTAAAGGATCTGTCCAAGGGGAGGAGTAAGTTGGTGAGGGGAACAGCCACTTAGCAGCCTGGAGTAGCAACTCCTTTGGAAACACAAAAGACAATCTCTTCTTTCAGAACAGTATGTCCACAGCTAAAGGAATAAATGATTACCACGTGCTAACTCCATGCTAGCTGCTTTGAGAAACTTCAGTGCTGAGGAAACATTTGCCCAGCTTCAGCATGCTCTAATACTTTGAGTTCCACCATGAGGACTTCAGAGGACACACTGCCTGTCCAGTGTCTGGAAACCTTTGAAACCTCGTCCCCACTGCTGTGACTAGTGCTTGCTGGATATGCATAGCACAAGCTGCCACACCTTGGTAAACTTTGCAAGTCCCAGCAAATGTCAGCAGGTTGGTTTGGCTGCAGGAGCTCGGCACACTACATAGTTTGTAGTGCTTAGGGGCCTGTCTTTTCTTTCACACTTTACACCAAGCTTA